TATCCTCATAAAAACTCTTTACAGCATTTAATAACTTACCACCTATTCCATATACTTGCAACATGTGCCACATTGCTCCTCTATCCACTCTATCATATGCCTTTTCTAAATCCATAAATGCAATAAAAACTTCTCTACCTTTACCTAAATACTGTTCACATATATGCTATATGCTTCAATGTAAACACTTGATCTACACATCCCCTACCCACTCTGAAATCTCCTTGCTCATCCGCAATCCTACATTCTGTCTTACCTCTAATTCTTTCAATTATAACCCTACCGTACACTTTTCCTGGTATACTCAGTAAACTTATTCCTCTATAATTTTTAAAGTCTCTTTTGTCCCCCTTCCCTTTATATAAAGGGACTATACATGCTCTCTGCCAATCCCTAGGTACCTTCCCCTCTTTCATACATTTATTAAACAAAAGTACCAACCACTCCAACACTATATCCCCCCTGCTTTTAACATTTCTGTCATGATCCCATCAGTTCCAGCTGCTTTACCCCCTTTCATTCTACATAATGCCTCATGTACCTCCCCCACACTTACATTCTGCTCTTCTTCACTCCTAAAAGATGGTATACCTCCCTGACCAGTGCATGAAATTACTGCCTCTCTTTCTTCCTTAACATTTAAAAGTTCCTCAAAATATTCTCGCCATCTACCTGATACCTCCATCTCCCCATCTACTAACTCCCCTACTCTGTTTTTAACTGACAAATCCATACTTTCCCTAGGCTTTCTTAACTTGTTTAACTCACTCCAAATTTTTTTCTTATTTTCATTACAATTTCTTGACAGTGCCTCTCCCACTCTATCATCTGCTCTCCTTTTGCACTCTCTCACCCTTAAATGGTCCAAACGTATATATACGTTTTTTCAACATCTGAAAGTATGTAAAAAAAATGTAGCTCTTCTTTTTTGTTTTACATTTGAAAACGTGTAAAAAAAAACTTTTATCTACATTTTTTTTTTTTTTGCTATATTTGAAAATATGTAAAAAAAAGTAGATCTACTTTTGTAGCACTACGAATTTGAATGTCGATCTGTTTGGACCGTTTAAGGGTTAATGTTGTTTCTGAATACAGTATATGAATGTTATTTGGAATGCATTTGTTATAAAGATCCCAATGGTAAGTAATTAGGGGAACACGCCTTGTATTCCTTGGAAGAACTGTTTTATAAATTCATAAGTCAAATTAAAAAGTATAAATTAAAAGAGACAACTAACACTTTTACATGCTAATGAAGAGTTAAAATTTAGTGGGCATGGTCACCCCATCACCTAGATGTGCCTTACAGAATGTACAGTGCTGTGTATCCTATATCCATGATATAGTGGCTGAATGTAAAATCTTGCTTTATAAATAAAAATAATATTAACCAGCATAATGAAATATACAACCTCGGTCATGTATTACTGAAGTAGGATGACCCAAACACTAAAACTTTCACCATCATTCATGCCATCACTGTCTTGCCAGAGGTGTTTCAGCACTAAAGTTCAGATGCTCCTCCAAACTGCAAATGTCCCCATCCCTCCTCCAAAGTGCAGGCAATGTACTACCCACCTCCATGACTCAAGTCTGGCTAACCAGGTTCCTGAATCCCTTCACAAAAATGTTACCTTGTTCACACTCCAACAGCTAGTCAAGTCCAAAAAACCATTTGCCTCCACTCACTCCTAACACACTCAAACATGCTTGCTGAATGTCCAACCTCCTCACATGCATAAACAAAAATGTAATAAAAAAATTGAGACAAGCACTTCCTTAACCCTTAAACTGTCCAAACATAGATCTACGTTCACATGTGTAGTGCTCCAAAAGTAGATGTATGCTTTTTTACATATTTTCAAATAAAAAAAAACGTAGATCCAAGTTTTTTTACACACTTTCAAATATAAAAAAAAAAAAAATTATGTTTTTTTACATACTTTCAAATGTTGAAAAAAAAAACGTAGATCTACATTTGGACAGTTTAGCCCTTTCAGGGTTTCAGCCGTACTAGTACGGCTTATGCACCAGGGTTTTTGATGTACTAGTACACCTAAATTCTAGCGCCCTCAAATCTAATGAGAAAGCTGGTAGGCCTACATATGAAAGAATGGGTCTATGTGGTCAGTGTGCACAGTATAAAAAAAAATCCTGCAGCACACAGTGCGTAATGAGAAAAAAAAACTGAGCGTGTTTTTGGATTAAAACAGCGGCTTTGCACTGTATTTTCGTATGGTATTTATTGTTGTATTCTAGTTTTCCTGGTCTCATTCTATAGAATGAAAGACATATTACAGAAATTGAAGTGCTTTTGACTGATTTTACAATGAAAAGTGCAGTGGACCCTCGCCTAAGGATATTAATCCGTTCCTGAGAGCTCAACGTTAAGCGAAATTATCGTTAGCCGAATTAATTTTCCCCATAAGAAATAATGGAAATCAAATTAATCTGTTCCCGACACCCCAAAGTATGAAAACAAAAATTTTACCACATGAAATATTAATTTTAATACACACAAACTGAAGAAGACATGTACAATTACATGACACTTACCTTTATTGAAGATCTGGTGATAATTGATGGGATGGGAGGAGGGAAGTGTGTGGATGGTGTTAATGTTTAGAAGGGGAATCCCCTTCCATTAGGATTTGAGGTGTCAAGTCCTTTTTTGGGGTTGCTTCCCTTCTTCTTTTAATGCCACTAGGACCAGCTTGAGAGTCACTGGACCTCTGTCACACAACATATCTGTCAATAGAGGCCTGTACATCCCATTCCTTTATGATATTCCTGAAGTGTTTCACAACATTGTCAGTGTAATAGTCACCAGCATGGCTTGCAATAGCTGTGTGAGGGTGATTTTCATAAAAAAAGGTTTGCACTTTAAGCCACATTGCACACATTTCCTTAATCTTTGAATTAGGCAACTTCTTCAATTTCTCTCTCTCCTCCTCCGAAGCAGTTTCCTCAGGTCTGGCCTCTTGCTGTTGAAGATGATCTTGCAGCTCATCAGTGGTTAGTTCTTCATTGTCCTCCTCCACCAACTCTTCCACATCCAACCCTAAGGACTTCCCCAATGCCACAACTGATTCCACAACTGGCATAGGCTTCCAAGGGTTTGCCTCAAATCCTTCAAAATTCCTTTTGTCTACACATTCTGGCCACAGTTTCTTCCAAGCAGAGTTCAAGGTCCTCTTAGTCACTTCTTCCCATGCCTTACCTATAATGTTTATACAACTGAGGATGCTAAGTGATCTCTCCAAAACTCTCTTAAGAGTCGATTGAGTTTCTGAGGTCACTACAAAACACCTTTCAAACATTGCTTTTGTGTAGAGTTTTTTGAAGTTTGCAATGACCTGCTGGTCCATGGGCTGCAGGAGAGGAGTGGCATTAGGAAGCAAAAACTTCACCTTAATGAAGCTCATGTCCCCAGAAAGTCGCTCTGCCACGTCTGAGGGATGACCAGGAGCATTGTCTAATACCAGGAGGCACTTAAGGTCCAATTTATTTTCCAGGAGGTAATTTTTCACAGTGGGGCCAAATGCATAGTGTAAGTAGTCATAGAAAAGGTCTCTAGTGACCCATGCCTTACTGTTTGCCCTCCACATCACACACAAATTAGCCTTGAGGACATTGTTTTTCCTGAACACTCTGGGAGTTTCAGAGTGATACACCAATAATGGCTTCACTTTGCAATCACCACTAGCATTAGCACACATCAACAGAGTAAGCCTGTCTTTCATAGGCTTATGTTCAAAAGTAAACAAATCATGCTAAGCGTCCAATACACGTCAACTGGTGAGTCTAATATTCTTTCACAAGTGCGCCGATATTATTTATACCATTTTTTACACTAATGCAGTAGTCTGCATAACGGTAAATCTTCTATTTTTTGTGAGAATAAAAATTCAAAGTGGAAAGCAAAAGAATGTAAGAGAGGCGTTGGGACGTGACTAATGAACAGAGGAAATGTCATTTTAGTGCCAGGACTGTCTTTCTTGTTTATTCTGGACTCTATTTGGAAATTGGCATGTTTTGAAATTTGTGTGAAATTGGCCTAATTGCTAAATTCTGACCACTGTATTGGATAGCTGAAATCGGTAAATGGGTGGTTTCTTTCACTCATTCGATAGAAAAAATGGAGTTCTAGCGAAATATTCATGATTTTTGTTGACTAGTACAGTGGAATTGGCGGAAAATAGGGCTCAAAGTGGGCAAAATCGCCGATGTGTAAACATCGTCGAGACCGCTAACTTTGCGAGAGCATAATTCTGTAAGTTTTCCATCAAATTTCAAACTTTTGGTGTCATTATGATCAGGAAAACTCTCTCTATCTTTTCATAAGAAAAAAAAATTTTTTTTTTCTTTTTTGAAATTTGGGCGACCCTGAGAACAAGTCTCTGAGAGGGCCTGTTGACCCTGAAAGGGTTAAGGGTTAACGTCTAAGGGCAATGTGTGGTGTAAATATTATGCAAAGAATTCAGAGTGTGGAAATTAGGAGGAGGTGTGGAGTTAAGTGTTAGTCGGAGGGCTGAAGAGGGGTTGTTGAGGTGGTTTGGTCATTTCGAGAGAATGGATCAAAGTGGAATGATATGGAGGGCGTATAAATCTGTTACTACTGTTACAGTATGCTTCATGCTTAGCAACGAATTCGTTTACCAACATGGTCTTAGGAATGGAACTCTGTCGTTAAGTGAGGAGAGGCTGTACTGTAGTACCACTGTTATTACATACATAAAATATTTTACAAGAATTATTTTAGAAAATTTAATTTCACCATAATTACTAACAATTTCTATCTATGAGAAATGCACATAAGGAAGTTAGATGGAAGCCTTCCTGACAATGTTGTGTTCATGCAGAGGATGTATTAACACCTATGCAAGCAAAAATGAGGCCAATAAAGCTTTAATTTAACTGCATTTGTGATTTTCTCAGCTTATCAGAATTTAATACTATTACCTAACAAATTACTACTCATTGTGATAGTTGTAACTTACCTCTTGCTGGAAATGGTATAACAGAATCAGTGTCATAATGGCTTTTGAAGGTGATAGCATTGTTATGAAGACGCTGTGCCCATCGTCCCTTGGGCAAATCAACTCCTCCTCTGTCCCCAATGCCTCCGCCTGGGCCTTGAGGCTCCGTCATTTGCTTCTTGGCCCACAAAGGTAACTGTCCCATACTGAATCTTGTGATGAAACATAATGAATTCAATCTTGTACAGAATGTAGTTGTGATGAACATTCAGTTGCATAAAGGATACAAAGCCGATACTGTGACCGAAACAATAACCAATAACCCACACATAGGAGAGAGAAACTTACAACATTTCAGTCCAACTTAGATCTTTTACAAAGTCATACTAACAGAGTGAGGAAGCCAGTATATATAGGCAAGCGGGAGAAGGATGGGGGAATGTCATCCCCTCCATTCCTCTACTTTTGCTATTACCTTTACTATTCCCTCTCTTTACCCTTCACTCCTTCCCATTCTCTCTTGTGCCACTAAGCTACTCTTTCTACTTTATGCTACCACTATTTCTTCTACTACTACTTCCACTACCTACCTTACCACTACCACTACCTCCTCTTTGCCCTCTCCTGTTCCCATCCTTGTCCTGCTTGCCTATATACACTGGCTTCCTCACTCTGTTAGTGTGACTTTGTAAATAGTCCAAGTTGGACCGAAATGTCACTGTAAGCTTGTCTTTCCTATGTGTGGGTTACTTTTGTAACTTTCGGTTACATAAGTACTCAGCCTTCAACTACATCATACAAGAAAACCACTTATATTCTATTCAGCAACAGAGCTCACAGGTATCACACTTCAGATTCTTTCACTGTTTCTTGTGGTTTCCCTTGAATTTCTATAGATGCTAAATGCAAATAAAAAGACCAGAAATTGGAAAAAGTGCCAGATTAATTAAAAAAATTGTCACAATGAATTCAAGCAAGCTTAAAAACTGCCATTAAACTTTTATGTCAAAGTTATAAATTACACCTTTTTCTAACCCTGAAACTGTCCAAATGTAGTTCTACATTGTTACTTCTAGCACCCCAAACGTAGATCAACGTTTTATTTTTCTTGCCTTCAAATCTGGCACAATTGGCCTGAGATGCCTGGTCAATATAGAATGGGTCTTAACACTCAGTGTGCACAGTACTGAAAAAAACTGAGACCATTTAGTACCTTGAGGGAGCGCCAGTTCCAATGAGCGCCAGCTAGAGCAAACAGCGCGGAAAACACCAGGGACTCACTGATGTCATGTCGTATTAACACTCCCCTCTTGAGAGGAAAGTGATGTTGGCCCTGAGCTTAGTGGCTTTGAGATGGATGTGGCCACAGGTGGTCGAGGAAATATGAAAAACCTCGATAATACTCACATGCAACATTTCTGGAACATCCTTTCAATTTTGATATCACTGGTAGTGTCATACTGCCAGAATATCTTATAACCTATGCCCTAAGTAAAGAGAAACAATTCTGGAACATGTGTGATACATGTTCGGCAGACTGGGTGGCTAGCTGACTGGGCGATTGACTTCGGCTGTCTCTATCTCCGTCTGTCTGTCTGTATCTATCTCTGTCTCTGCCTATCTCCATCTCTCTCTATCTCTATGTTTATCTCTGTCTCTGTCTCACAATTATACGTAGTGTATATTACCTAGGATAACCCCCAAAAAAAAATCCAGAAAGTGCTATACTGTTTTTGTAGATATATAAACATGACTCGCAAGTAATACACATTTTCACTTGTTCAGGAATCAGACGTGACGACTCTGCATCCTGTGTAATACCTGTTGGTTCGTGAGCAGCTCTCTAAGACAGAAAGAGAGACAGGCAGAGACAGTAAGACAGATACACAGGCAGACAGTAAGACAGATACACAGGCAGACATAAGCAGACACAGAGATAAACAGAAAGACGCAGACAGACAAGACATGTTTACATGTAACAGTGAAAACAAATGAAGCCAAGGCAGTGCACGATCAAGTGTCAATCCACTGCTGCACTGTCAGCAGTGGAGTGACACTCATCTTAAACTGTGCTTCAAGGAGTTTTATATATACTCCAGCATGTGTAAAACATTGCTGGGACCTATAAATACTTTGTGTATTTATAGGTCCCAGACAATAGTATGTGACCAAGGCAGGTGAAAATGTTCACCTGTCAGTGTGTTTGTGAGTATTTGAGTACTATTTCAGTACCTAATATTAGTGTCAGAACAAAGATTGGCTATGAAATCACAAGAACTACTAGAAATTGTAATTATCAGAACATAAAACTTATATAAATAAAAAAAAAAAAAAAAAAAACAAGGTATATCGGCAACATTTCTGCAAGCAGCAGGACTCCATGTTGACTTCAGGTGAGTATCCAGAGCTAATTTATGGTCTTTTATCTCGGTAAGTACTGACCCTAAATTTTTTTTATTCTATTATGTGTAGAAAAATGCCCTCTTTATTAAAAAAAAAAAAATTTCAAAATATTCGGAGCGCTGGGCGAGAGAACATGGATTTACGTTTGGACAGTTAAGGGGTGAAGGGTTAAATTTAATCATATCCCCAACCATTACTACATCATACTTCAATATTTGCTTTTTTAGTCTTCTTAAAATGGAATTTAAATTTAACATTAAAATTTAATTTAATATTTCACTAAATACTCAAGTTACACTCTAATGTCTATTACAATCATAAGTTCATAGGACATTTATTGAAGTACAGGCAACGTTTTGGTGAAAATCAGTTACCTTCATTTCTGGAACATGATATAACAAAATGTGAAAGTTTATTAAACTAGCCAAGCTGGAAGGTATTGTTCAAATGTCCTATACGAATTAAGGTGGTTACAATCTGAGGTGAGTTAAAATAATACATAGAGTATAACAAGTCATTACATCATGTAGCAGAAATGAATCTTGAAGATGGTGACTGATATTTCAGTGAAAAATTTATCTTATGTTAACAAATGTCCTAAGAAGCTGCAAGTCTTTCCCACCTACTACGAATTATGTTTCTTCAAGCATAATCATTTTTGTATTACAAAACTATGTCATTATATATTTTAGTGTGTAAAATAAGCTTTGATAATTCTAATTACTCGTGTGCAAGTCCCACTCAAAACCAACCCCTCTCACCCATGTATTTATCCAACCTAAATTTTAAACTACCCAAGGTTTAAGCTTTGATAACCCTACCAGGTAGACCATTGCACTCTTCAACTACCCTATCACCAAACCAGTACTTTCCTATATCCTTTTTCTTTTTTTTTTAACACAGGGTTTGACAAGGTTAGGTTAAGGATCCCTAGCTTTATTGACAAGGTTAGGTTAAGGATCCCTAGCTTTATTGACAAGCTATTTACAGGTTAAGGATTCCTAACTTTATTGACAAGCTAAGAGCTGTGAAAAAAGACACTTATATACAGTTCAGGACATTTATTAAAGGAAACGTTTCACCACGAGTGGCTTCTTCAGTCCTGATACAGAGAAAACTAGGAAAACGCGTATATATAGTGGCAGGAGTCAAGCAGTTATAACGAACACAAAGTTCGACAAGGCTCACAAAATCTTGGTGGGGTACAGGTAACTCTGTATCATCATGCCTATGAGATCTATTACATCTTGAATTGGAAAGTTTCAACGTGACTGCCTTATTCACCAATGTCCCAGTTGATCAAGCCACTTACCTTTATCGCAGGGTGATTAACAATGATATAGAGTTACCTGTACCCTGCCAAGATTTTGAGAGCCTTGTCGAACATTGTGCTCATTATAACTGCTTTAGGTGTGAAGACAAGAAGTACAAACAACTCTTTGGGCTAGCCATGGGATCCCCCTTAATGCAGTACTTGCCAATTTATATATGGAGGACCTAGAATCCAGACGGATACTCAGTAACATCCCTAGTTCAGTTACATGGAAGCGGTACATTGATGATATTTTGGTCGTTGTACCCAAAAATCTAGATGTACGTGGCATCCTCAACACCATCAACACTCTGGAACCTACTATCAAATTTACATTAGAGGAAGAGGACAACCAATTACCTTTTCTCGATGTTCTCCTACTCACTGGTGAAAACAGACTTTCTCTTAAAGTCTACCGGAAACCTACCTACAAGAATGATCTTCTACATTTCTTCTCTCACCATGACATCAGAACTAAAAGAGGGGTAGTTACTGGCTTCTTTCTGAGAGCCTACAGAATTTCCAGTCCGCAGTTCCTTGAAGAATACACATACATCACCAATTCTTTTAATTCACTACACTTTCCCCTACACTTCATACATGACTGCAGGAAACGTGCGACACGTATCCTCAACAAAACCAACACCAATCAAGTTGAAGAAAAGCCTCCAAGTTACATCATTTTACCAGTCAGCAATGTTGCCACTAATGTTTCAAAAATGTTTGACAGAAAACTGAATAAAATATCTACCAGCTCAACTACTATAAGGAACCTGATACAAAAACCCAAGCATGACTCTGGCACAAGTGCAGGAATTTACACTATACCATGTTGGGGGTGTGACAAAGTATATACATGTATAGGGGAAACAGCTAGATCTCTGGACATTAGGATCACCAAACACAAAAATGCTTGCAGAAATTATGACCACAAAAACGTGTGTGTTCAACATAGGGACGATGTTGGACACCTCATGAAATTCAATGAAGCTAAACTAGTGATTAAAGAAGATGACTTAAGATGGAGAAAATGCATAGAAGCTGCACTAATTGCTGTCCGTAACATTATAAAACAAAAATCCAGCAGTTACAGTATCTCAAAATTGCTAATCAACAGGATATTACCTATTCTGGAAACTGCTGTTGCATGATGCCAACAGGTCCCTCTGTAGCCATCCGTCTCACCTCCTTAGTAGTAGTTCTTGTTCTTGCAGCAGCAGCAGCAGCAGCGGCAGCGGCGGCGGCGGCGGCGGCAACGGCGGCGGCGGCGGCGGCGGCAACGGCGGCAACGGCGGCAACGGCGGCAACGGCGGCAACGGCGGCAACGGCGGCAACGGCGGCAACGGCGGCAACGGCGGCAACGGCGGCGGCGGCGGCGGTGGCGGCGGCGGCGGCGGCGGCAACGGCGGCGCCGCCGCCGCCGCCGCCGCTGCCGCTGCTGCTGCTGCTACAACCCACACGACACTTCACCTGATTCCTGGCACTATACATATGCGT